TGGTGGAGCAGTGGGTTGAGCACAGCACTGTGAGGCTGTCCATCGCTTCTGTAGCTCAGGTTCGATTCCTGGCTGGCCAGGGGGATTCCCACACAGTGCGGCAGACCTCTCCTGTATCACCTGTGGCTCCCCTCAGCAGTGCTTTCGGTCTTTCTGCCTGTTCTGTTCCATACTCTGTCTCTGGTGAGTCCTCTCACCCTCCCTGTGCCTATGGCCTGTATCACAGCTATTGTATAAATAAAAAAAATGATTTTTTTTTTTTAAATCTGAACAGACCAATCACAGAGATTGCATCAACAATCTAACACTAAACACAGAATACTTGAGGACCACATAGTTTTCCTGGTAAATTATACCAAGTATTTAAAGAGCTAACACCAATTTCTCTCAAACTTCTCCATAAAAACTGAGGAAGGAACACTTCCAAACTCATTCTGTATGGTTGGTATCATGCCACCACACCACAAAGTCAGACTACAAGGCTAGCACTACACCAATAAAAAGTCAGATAAAGACATTATAAGAAAACTATAGAACAATATTCATGAATATAGCTGCAAAAATTCTTTTCACAAGTATTGCCAAACCATATTGAGAAACTCATTAAAAGGATAAAGATGATAGTAACATGTGATTTATTTATAGGATTCAAGGATGGTTCAACATATGAAAATCAACAAATATAGCATATCACCTTAGCAGAATGAAAGATAAAATTTACATAATCACCAAAATATGCAGGAAGGGGCCTCCTTGATGGGGCAGGGTTTAAAGACACAGCTGTTAAGCTATTGCCAGCCACTGCAGCAGGAGTTCGATCCCCAGCCACCAGGGAGCTAATCCGCATGGTGCAGCAGACCTCTCCTGTCTCACCTGCTGCTCCCCTCAGCAGTATATTTCAGTCTGCCTATTCTGCTCCCCACTCTGTCTCTGGTGAATCCTCTTACACCCCCCCCCCAACCTCTCAGTTACACTCCATTTCTTATATAAATCTTTTTTAAAAAATGTGCAGGAAAAGCATTTGTCAAAATACAACATTGGTTCACACTATAAACCTTCAACAAATTGTGTATAGAAGAAATTAAGGGTCAAATACAAAAGACCCACAGTTAACACATTCAATGATGGAAAAAAATGGAAAGCTTTTACTCTAAGATTAGGAAACAGAATAAAGATACAATCTTACTCATTAGAGTACTAGAAATTCTAACTAGAGCAATTAGACAAGACAAAGAAATAAAAGGCACACAAATTGGAAAAGAGGATATAAGCTGTGATTATTTGCAGATAGTATGTTTTTCTGTGTATAAAACCAGAAAGACAAAAATGCTGGAACTAATCAATGATTTCAGCAAAGTTACAGGATATAAGATCAACATACAGAAATCTGTTACATATCTGTATAGTAATAAAACATCTAAGAAATACAATTATCCCATTCACAACAGCATGAAAAACATTAAAATATTTATGCATATATTTAACCAAGGAAGTAAAAAATCTAAAAACAATGATTTGGTTAAAGAAATTGCACATGAACAATGGCAAGATTTCTCATGTTTATGGATTGCAAGAAAGGATATTGTGAAAAATGTCCATACTACCCAAATTCATCAATAGCTTTAACATAATCCCTATCAAAATTTCAATGGCATCCTTCATAGAAATCCTAATATTTGCATGGAATCACAGAGGAGCCCTAATAGCTAATACAATCCTGAGAAAGAAAAATAAACCTGGTCATATAATACTTCCTAATTTCAAACTATACTACAAAGCTATAACAACCACAACAGCATGGTGTTGGTATAAAAAGAAAGACAAACACCAATGGAACACATTTAGTCAATTAATATTAAATACGGTCGCTAAAGCACCCAACAGTGCTCCAATAAATGTGTTGGGAAAACTGGATAAAAACATGTGACAATGCCAGTGAATCCTTTTCTTACCACTCACAAAAATTAACTTAAAATGGACCAAATACTTAAAACATAAAACCTAGTGACATTATAAAACCTCTAGAAAAAAAGTTAGGAATAAGGTTCTTAACATTACTCTTGGCAATTATTTTGAAAGATACAAAAAGTACCATCAACAAGAGCAAAAATTGAACAAATGGGCCTACAAACACAAAAGCTTATCAGAGCAAAAGTAACAATAAAATGAAACGGCAAACTTCAAAATGGGAAAAAAAAATTGCAGACCATGCATCAGATAAAAGACTATGACCCGAAATCTATGGAAAATGCATACTTCTCAATAAAAACAACAAACAACAAAAAATGTTTGGCTGATAGTGCTCAGTTGTCACATAGATATCAGGACAGAAAGTCAACTAAAGTTACTTAGTGCCCCAGTTGATTTATTTACACTTGCATTAAATAATTATTTATTATTGTGTCCTACAGTACTTTTATCTCAAAATGAACTGGCTTTGGGGGGAAAATAGAGGTCTAAAATTTTACGGTATCAATATCTATTCTTTTCCCCTTTAGCAGCAACTTATACAATCACATTTTTAATATCTTTGTTTTTCATCAGAATGAGTTCTGTTTCAGCATATGATGGGGCATAGGGAAACTTTAGGGATAAATATCTTTGGTAATCTTGATTGAGTTTAAATCTGATGTTGTTCATAGTATCAGTGAACCACTATCTGAAATTCTGTATGTAATATATTACTTTGATGATATGGAATCTTATGGAAAAAATAGCTAATTTTTTTAACCCCAGAAAGGAAAGTTACATTCTGCAAATAGAATGTGGCTTACTTTCCTGTTGAACACCAATCACTATTTTTTTGTGGCCTAAAAATTCAAATGCTACATAGAAACTCCATAGTGCCAATAGTTCAGTATGAATTTTCATCTGGATGTTATGAACAAATGTTATTAGTACACTTGTCATTCTCCATGTATTATTGTTAATGTGACAGTCTCATAGTACTGTGTTAATTTCTACCTTAATATTTAAAATTGCTATTAAACAAACATTTTGATTTGATCCTCCCTAGTTGCAAAATCTCAAAAAATAGAAGAACTAAATAAGCACTTTCCCCCAAGAAGAAATCCAAACAGCCAACAGGTCATGAAAAATGCTCAAGATCACTAGTTTTATCAGGGAAATGCAAGTCAAAAGCACAATGAGGTATTACCACCTATTTGTTAGAATGACTATCGTTAAGACAAAATGGTAGTAAGTGTTGATGAGGATGTGGAAAAGGGATTCCCTTGTTCACTATTGTGGAACTGTAAATTGGTTTAGCCAGAATGCAAAACAATATGGAGGCACCTCAAAAAAGTTAAAAGAGCTCTAACATATGATCTACAAATTCCACTTCTGGGTATATACCCAAAGGAAATGAAAACTGGGTATTGAAGAGATATCTACACTTCCAGTTTATTACAGATTTATATAATATCCAAGATATGGAAACGAACTGCACACACACAGTAATAATTTTGAGCCATGAGAAAGGACATCCTGTCATTTGTGGCACTCTGGATGGATTTGACAACATTATGCCAAGTGAGTAAAGTCTGAGAAGGACATAATGATATGTTCTAACTTATATGTGGATTCTGAAAACAGCCAAACTCATAAAAATGCAGTAAAACTGTGGGTAGAAGGGGATAGGGAACTGGAGAAATGGTACCTATAAACAACTTCTGTCCTAATTTGTAAGTAGTAATTAAATTCCAGAAATCTAATACAGTATATTGAGTGCATATAAAATGACAACATTTTATTATACTCAAACTTGCTAAGAGACTAGAATTTAATTATTCTACCCCTCTCCCCAAATGATAATTATGTACTGTGATAAAGATGCAAATTATGGCCATAATAGTAATCACTGCAATATATAAATGTATCAATATGGTCTACAATTAAAATTCATGCAATGTTATATAAAAAAATGTTTCAAGTTAAATAAAGAAACCGATACATATGTAAGAGCTGAAAAACAATTTAGAGTCAACCAGCTTTGACTTCCATAAAATAGCTGCATTACTTGCTAATGATATGTCTAATGTTTCTGAACATCAAATCACAATCTTTCAGACTAACTTGGGAAGTTGATAAAGAACAATGATGGCACTGATTTCTTAAAAACTATGAAATATTTTCATACAATGAAATGGGTATCCTCTTAAGATGGGCAAACATAGTGACAGTAAACAAGAACTATCATTTCTATCATATACCCAACTTGTATATTAGAACTAAATTCACTTTACCACTGCTGGTGTTAATGAGAGCTTATTAGAACATAAGATCTTGATGATGGAGACCAAAATGTATCATTTTTCCCCAGTTTGTCAGTCAAACGCAGATACACTTTCCACTATCTTGTAAAGTTGCAGACTTGCTCAGTCTTTTTAAAAAGATAATACAAAGAAAAATAAACAGCAGGAAATTCATAAGCTCAATTATAATCTTAGTCTCATCCTCCCCCATCAAATTTCGCCTTCATTCTTTTCTCTATTCACCCTGCTTTGAAATTCTCTGAAGCTTCAAAAAAAAAAAAAAGGCGTATCCTTGATTAACATCTCACAAAACTCTCCCAGATCGCCTGATTTCTTTTCTACAATTTCAGTTTATTAATTTAAGCATACTTTCACACTGTATTGCAAAATATTAAAATCATCTTTTGTCAGTTACTTTAGGAGAAATGCAAGGACTGTTATCTTGTCATTTCTGTTGGGTTTTGGTATTCTTAGTGAAAAGTACAGCCAAGTGAGATAGAGTGGCCAAGTGGCCAAAGGTGAAGTAGAGAGAGGTGAATTAAGAAGCCAAAACAATCTCATTCCAGATAACAAGTGAGCTAAGGATATGTGCAGTCCACATGAGCATGTTTTATGAGAGGCAGTATATTATTGACAAAAGAGCTAAAATAATTTTTAAAGGATAAAGCTGCTAACTCTAGGCCATGGGCAAACCTCCTGGAGTGTGTGTCAGTGTTTTTATCTGTGACGCCACATTCATCTCCTTACCAGATCTGCTGCAGTGGGAGGGGTCCACAGGTCTTCCATTTTTATCAGAGCAGGCTATTGCTCGAAAGCGTGTTCCTTCTCCACATTCTTTGCTGTCTCTTTGCACTGGTAATCCTCGCTTAAGTTCCCTTCTGCCTTCAGGAAGGATGCAGTCAGACCAGTTTCCATAAGGTTGAGATATAAACTCATCACAAGGACATGGCTGTGTTTCCACCAGAGGGTACAGGTCAGTATCTTGGCATTTCTCCTTCTTCCTGCTCTTCCCTGTTCCATAGAAGACATTGATGTGTTCATTTTTCAACTGTCTTATCAAAAGCCATACTTTGTATTCACAAGCTCATAGAACATTAGATCTTAACTAAAATAAAGCCTTTCTCTCCTCTTTTTTTTTTTTTTTTTTTGCCACAGAAGTAAATTCTAAGACAAAGGAGCCATGTGCCATGGCAACTGTAAAATGTAAGTGAAAAAGAAAATGGCTTCAAGTTGAAGTGTACTACTAAATATTTTAATGTTTGTTATACTGGCTCAACAGCTAGAAAATTCTTCTAAATATTATTTTCCCTATAACTTGTTGTTGATAAAAACAGATCACCTTGTCTCTATTTTCCCTGAAATTAATGGTTGCCAGAGAAACCAACAAAATGTTGGTTCTCTACCTCTCTTTCAGTATATTATTTAAAAAAGAAATTTATTTACTCAAAGTGATATCCTTCTATGCAATATCCCAAGAGTAAGGCTGGGGGTGACCTGAGGTATAGTGAGCAAAGTGAAACTTATTTTGGTCCTTGTCATCAGACTGTTCATGAAAGCTGACATAATCAATAAAATGAAATGATGCTCAAATTGTGTCAGGTAATTTGATCTGAGAATAAGCTATGGCTCCCATTTTAGGGAATCTTTTAAAATACAATATTCTAAAATATGGCTTTACCAGTCAACTTTGATGGATCTTTTAGTTGTGATCTTATCGTTGACAAAAGATAATGAAGTCTCATTTTCCATAGCCATGAGTACCATGTAGTAGATTCTAAATCAGATTATAACTTGATTCAAATTTGCAGCCAACACACACACTCTAGATTACTGAAAATTTTCTTAGATCTATCTAATAATTCCACTTTTTGTCTCCTCATTAGCAGGCCATTAGAGTCTTGCACGTGTGTGACAAAATAAGCACCCTTATTGGTCTGTTTCCAGCCTGATGGCTTTTTTGAAAAATGTTTGCTAAAAGATCATGCCTGGGCTCCTTTCTCATTGTCACCTGGCTTACATTACACACAGTAGTTCAACAATTATGTCCTGGATGAATGAGTCTATGACCTGCCATGGTGGCTAAAATGAATAAAGATTTCTGCAGGATCTAAAACAATCTTTCAAGTGCTTGAGTAACACATATGTCCCATGGGGAGGATGGAGTCACTTTCTTCTACAATTAGAAGCACTTACTGTGGGAAGTTTAAGAAAGACTATCATGGCTAACAATTTACTGGTTAAGAGATGTCAAGGGGTGGTGATTGTGCCCCTCCTATTAGCATATATGCATAATTCTCTGGTGCCTCCCAAAATTCTATACACCACTTACTGATGTCTCAATATCTTCAATTTTCATTGTCTTCTCAACTGACTGAACTCTAAATTCTGGGTGTACCTAGTCTTTAAAACAGCTTTGTGTTTGCTAAAGTAATAAAACCCTTCAAGCATGATGTTTTACTCCTTATCTTTCAGACTTGATCATTCAATGGCAGTGCAGGGTGTTGATTACACCAGCAATCTTGAAATTCCTTTCAAGTTCCATCATGCCCAATCTTTTTGTACATCACCTCATCATCCCTATGGTCACATCTTATTTATTGATTTATTCATCCACTCTCTCTTAACTCTCTGTTCTCAGGACACTTCTCCAGGCACTCTTTTCTTATTCTACATTTACCCACACGCAGAATTTGTATAAGAATCATTATATCTTAAATCATACTTGTCATCTTCCATCTAGACTTCATGCTCAAACTTCTGAGCCACAGACAAGAAACCTAGATCAAAATATCAATGGACCTAATTTTGGCAAAACCCATACTCCTTCTCTTCACATCAGACTTTCACCTAAATTTCCCAATTATACCAACAAAACTGAGTCAAAATGGTAATGCCACACTTCAATCATTCTGTATCTGCTCCGTAACAAAGATTTATCATTTCAGATCCCTAGGTAACTATGGAATCAATCTATAGTTTAGATGTTGATTGTAGCCACTCATATGTAGTTCAACTGTAAATAAATACAACAGCTTCTTCCAAGATCTTATCATCATTGCATATCATTCTCTTCAGTTTATTCTCCACACTACAGCCAGAACCAGCTTACAAAGATGGAAAAGTGATCATGTCATTCATCTACTCACCATAAACTCTTCATTCACCATAATTCACAGAATGACCTCTACAAAGCCCACTGTAGTCATAAAGGGCCCACAGAATCTGAGTGTATTAGTACCTGTCTCCTGCCTATGCGTTGCCACAGTGTATCTACCAAGATACAATCTGGTCACACTGAGCATCTTTCAGTTCCTGAAGTTACTCATTAGACTTCTGGTCTTTGCATGTTCTATTTCAGAAATTTTCACTTGCTCAACCATCGCTCCATAGTCTAGTTATTGCCTACCTGTCCTTCAGGTATACAAAAAAAAAAATAGATTATTCCCTATAGAGATCTACACTTGAACATACCTTACATCTCAGATCTGGAAAAGATGCTCTTCCCTACACACACAACATGTAGTAGACAGTTAATGACTCACCAAGGATGTTCACATCCTAATCTGAGCTACTTCACATGGCAAATTTGACTGTGTAGATGTGATTAAGATTATGAATTCTCAGATGAGATTATTTTGGATTATCTGAATCAGTCCAACCTAATCACATGGGTACTTAAATTCAGATAACCTTGTCTGGCTGAGTCCAATCTGAGGGAATAAGACTATGAGGTATGGGCAGAAAGAAGCACTGCTATTGGGTTTCAAAATGGAGGAAGGGAGCCAAGAACCAAGGAATGTTAGTTAATCAGCCTCTAGAAGCTGAAAAAGAAACTAGATTTCCACTTGAGTCTCCAGAAGGAAATTCAGTCCTCCAGTATATAATTTTCAGCATACTGTGAAACATGTATCTGACTCCAGACCTACAGAAATAAGGATATTTTGTGATGTTTAAGTCACCAAATTTGTGGTAATTTGTTACAGCACCAATAAGAAACTAAGAGAGAACCTTATATGTAGCAGGTACTACCTGGGTTGTATTTGTAGTCTCCCATTAGACTTAAATTAGGATCACATTACTTAGTCCCCCTGTAGTATTCCCAAGACCTGGCACACAGCCTGGGAGAAATCCACATGGTGTGGCAGATCTCTCCTGTCCCACCCGCTGCTCCCCTCAGCAGTGTATTTTGTCAGTCTGCTCTGTCTCTGGTGAATCCTCTCACCCTCCTGTACCTCTGGCCTGTACCCTGGTTCTTGTATAAATAAATAAATCTTAAAAAAAATACCATTAGCAAATCTTCGAGAAAAGGGAAAAAAAACTGACCATTCATTAAAATCTTTCCGTATAATGGAAATTCTCATCTCAAAAATAGTCGTATAATGACTTCTGAAGCTTTATGTATGAGCATGCGAACTAAGTTTCACAATGTTTCCCTCTGCATTTACAGTTCCTCCTGTCACATGCAATCTATGCCATCATACATTTTTTTCTATGAGAAATAAATGCTTTACCTTAGAAAGTTAAGACTGTTACATAACACAACATGCATAGATTTTTGAAAAACACAAAGCACAATTTATGTTTCTATGTTCATTTCACCTGCACTTATGAATGGGTTCCAATTTGCATGCAGAAATCCTGCTAAATGCTCTCATCAATTAAGTAAATCCATTAGAGTTAAATTTAAAATAATCTTGTAAGCAATGAATCAAACAAAGGGGTCTTGAGATCAAGAGAATTAACACTTAAACTACTCATGAGAAGAAATGGTTACTTGTGCTTAATTCTTTAATGTCGACACCAATTTTATTCTCCAATTATTATTTTGGCATTTTCCTTTGGTCCTTCATTCCCTAAATTAAGCTTTCTTCATATCCAAATACATATTTATACAGACCAGTAGAAAAATGCAGTACTGCATTCATTATTTGAATACTACAGGCAAAAAATGGAGCCAAGCCTGGATTAAACTGTAACATAGTGGGGAATGGGGAAGAAAGATGTAGGTGGGAGAGAGGGAAAGACCTGATACAAATTCTGTTCTTTATTCCGCTTGGGAGGTTCAGGAGTACATCAGTTGTCTGAAGCCAAGTCATGAAAGGTAAACCCTACCTGTGAGCTGGCGCCGTCTACTTCGGGTTGTTTCACAATCGGTGGAGCAGGGTGTAAACTTGGACCAAGCAGTGAAGGTACAGTCATCTCGACACGGGACCGTGCATTCTTGCACAAGGGGAGGCATACCATTTGTCTGCTTGAGGCATTCCATCATCTCTACTGACTTGTTATCATCAGAGATGCATAAGACAGCTAAAAAAAAAAAATAAAAGAAGCATGGATTCTTTTGTTGTGACTTCAATTAAAAAAGCCTGCTGCTGGGTCTTTCACAAAATACTGAATCCCCCAATGTTTGAAGATTTGGTTACCACTGAGATTGCTCAAGGTGTTCAACACAGCTAACTTTATTTCTCTCAGGAAATTAAATGTTTATTGTTGCAACTGGAGGTATTTGAAGATCTAATTGGTTTCATTATTAATCCAAATCCTGCATTGGCAGAAACCAAAATAACTTCTAGTAATTTATTGCATGTCCTGCTTATGAATATCTGATCTCTGGGAATGATAGAAAACTAGCAAAGGAGAATCTGTAAGACTTATATGAGGACAGAATCATCAAAAAATCTTAACTCTTTTGAGATCTGTATTTTGTTTGCTTGTTTAAATGGCACTAAAATAAAATGGTCTTATTTTTACTTCATAGCAAGTCTTAAAAAGAAGTTTTCTGTCTATATTTTTCTCTTTAATGTTTCAAGATTAAATATTTTAAATATTTTTTTTTCAAAACAGCAAATCTGTCCAGATAATTTTCATTACAAATCCTACAAATTGCAGATAACGTCAAAGTTTCTCACATGCTTTTTCAACTGGGATCTTTCTACTCATATAGATAGAATAACGAATAATCTTAAGGTAAAACATTTATGAAACTTTATTTACTCTTTTATTTTATTCTTTGGACTAATGCCATCATTTTATTCAATTATGAATAAATGATATTATTGTGCATGTCTTATTTCCCACAATTATGAAGTCTTTTAAGGAACTGGGCAGAAGAACTTAAAAGACATTTCTCCAGAGAGGAAATGCAAATGGCCAACAGGCATAAAAAATATTTAACATCCCTTACAATCAAGGAAATGCAAATCAAAACCACATTAAGATACCACTTTACACCAGAAAGAATGGCACATATCAAAAACACTATCAACAACAAATGTTGGCAAGGATGTGGTGAAAAAGGAAATCTCCTACAATGCTGGTGGGAGTACAAACTGTTCCAACCCTATGGAAAGCTGTTTGGAGGTTCCTCAGTCTACTAAAAATGGAGCTACCATACGACTCAGCAATTCCACTCCTAGGGATCTCCCCAAAGGACATAAAAAAAATTGATTCAAAAGAACACCTGTATCCTGATGTTTATTGCAACACTATTTACAATAGGTAAAACCTGGAAACAACCCAAATGCCCAAAAATAGATGACTGGATCAAGATGTGGTATATATACACAATGGAATATTACTCAGCAATCAAAAAAGATAAACCCATGCCATTCTCAGCAACGTGAATGAAGCTAGAAGGGATTATGCTTAGTGAAATAAGTCAGAAGGAAAAAGAAAAATATTAATGGTTTCACTTATAGAAGGAATAAAGGGGAACCAACTAAGACATCAGTGTAAAAAAATGGTAACAGTACAAAACACAACAAAGCAAAAACAGACAATTATAAATCAGAGCCATCCTGCAGGGGAGGAGGAGGGAGAGGGATCAGAGGGAGGGAGGCAGGAGCACAGGGGACTGAGGTGATGGTGCACGAGTGCATTGGGGAAGGAAATTCTATGAGGACTATATCTGAGGGGTGGGGGAAGCAAATATTGTTAAAAAATGAACAATGATATAAAAAATTAAAAATATAAAGAAAATAAAATGCTATATAAAAAAGGCTATGTCTATATTCTCTACACCAGCATTTCTCAAGGTGGGACCACTGGTATGTCAGATTGGATACTTGTTTCTTTCATGAGTACATAAGTGTGCCTTGTGCACTATAAGATACTCAATAGCATCCCTGACTTCTACCCATAAGATGCCAGTTGCACACACACCCTTCCCATTGTGAAAACCTAAAATGACTCCATTGAAACTAATCTCCTAACCATAGAGATGTTCACAAAAATGCAGAGATTCCATGGCATGGCATGGGATCTAGTGTAGCAACATCTTTGGGGAAGAAGCCCAGGAAGATTTTTGTACTTAAAGGATCCTAGTAGTTCTTATCCAACCTGTTAAACCAATCTATTCATATTCAGCATGGTGTCTTTGGACAATGTGTATATAAAGATTATTTGCTGAATTTATCATCCTAAATCAACTATAGCTTAGGATCATTTTTGCTACATTTCTTTAGAGTATACCAAGGTTCGAAGAATAAAGAGACTGCAGTTTAGGAGTCACTGTGTATAAACTTCTCTAATACAGGATAAATATATATAGGAGTCTTTTAAATTGCCTATTCTTCTTACATTTGTAATTTAATCTTTTAAAATTCTAAGCACAACAGCAAACAAAATCTGAATCCCAGATTTTTTTTTTAATTGGTGAAAGCCAAATCTATCTGTGTTAGGACCAAGGACTTAGCTAAATAACAACAGACGCATACACAATACTTCCCAGTTTGTGCATCTGTTCTGTGGCAGGTGGGGCTATTCATTCATATTGAATAGTGCTTTTCTTTTGTTTGTTTTTATCCACATCCTAGGAAGAAAACCCCCTGCACACCAAGCCAACATCACCTGCATTTTCTTTGTTGGAGATATTATAGCCAATGATAATGAATATATTAAGATATTTTATTTTAAATAGGATACAAGCAAATGTTATTTGAATTGCATGTTAGGCAATTTGTGGTCAATCTAGAAGACTTGGTCTTGCCAAGATATATTCCAAGGTAACAATAATACTGCATAACATAAAGAAAAAAATTTGTACACATGAAAAAAAGGATTGCCATTTGAAATTCTTCTCTATAAGCAACAGATGAATTTTTTCAAATATTTTCACATTCGTTTGCAAAGTTTAGAATTTAAAAATTATAATAAAATCAATGATAGTTTGAAGTTCTAAAAACTGTCTAAATTACACGACACTGGACTTGTAAATGTCTATTGAGCTATTTTGCATTAACAAAAGTATAATAAGAAAGAATTATAGCATATAATAGAGTGAATTCATAGACATTATTAGTAAATGGCATGGATGCAAATTCTAACTCTAATCACCTGGAAGTTTTGTGAACTAAGGTGATTTAAATTATTTATTCTTATGTTTAAAATGAATATAGTAAAAGCACCAAAGTGAAAAGTTGTAGAATTCGTAAAACAGTCTCAGAATACCTAAAGGACTCAATAAACATGATTATTCATCCATGTTTGTGTTTACATGTGTTTTAAATCAAGTAAACTGATAGTTCTCCTAATGAGTCAGTCTGTACACACTCTTGTTCTCCTTGTCTCATTTGTTCCATGGTCATGTTTAGAATCTGGAGGGTAAAAGTACAGAGGAAACTGGCTGAATATTCAGTTGATTCTAAAGCTACATTTAAAATCACTGTTAGTCAACCAGTATATCAGATATGCCCTAAATATATTCACTGCTTTAACAGAGTGATGCAGAACAAATCAGACCCATCATTCTTGTAAAAGCTGATGTAGTAAAATGGGCTGAGAGACTAGAGGTCTCTAAAGGTTACAGAATGCATTAAAAGGTGTTGCAGCAAGTTTGACAATATCCACATTAGCCTGAAGACCAAAGCTCTCTGTCGTTCTATTAAACAGAAAGTGGTCAGCAACTGACAAACTGAAGATGGTACAATCACTTTAGGCCAGACATTTTGGTTTTTAGATGTATTCAAGATTCTAATTTTAACATCTAAGTAAGATTTAGGAGCATATGTCAGTTTTTTCTGATCATCAGAACCATCTGAGCATCATACTCAGAAAATGAATGATTAGGCAGAAAAAAATAGCTTATGTGCCTTATGATCAGGAATAAAACTTAAGGATACTTTCTCTAATTCCATAGTGGTCTGGACACTAGTCTTTGCTCACACTCCTGGAGCTTTTTTACCTAGACCTTCTGTGTCCATGAAACTTACTGAACTTGATTAATTCGTCTATCCACTCATTTGGTCACAACTATAAACTAGGGACAATTACAAACGCATTGTGTGTGTACACATGGGTATGTACATATAATATTGCTTTCAAGAGACTGGTTTGTCAGTGACAGGCAGAGAGACGGATAATGGTAGTGTGATACTGCAGCATCCTTAATAGTGATAACCAATGGGAAGATCTGACACAGGGGAAAAATAGGTACCTCACTCTAAATGGAAAGGATATATAATGAGCAGGCAGGACTAAATACACCATTACAGTGAATTTATCTGTCAGATATCTGCTTTTTAGTGGAACTCTGGGTCCTGGGTCCTTTGGATTATAGAAAATCACTTACAGGCCACAATCTAGAGAAAAGATACCTTTTTTGGTGCTTTTAAGTATTTAAGTACTCTACTACACTTTCCAAGTGGAAAAATCTTTCTGTAAGGACAGAGACATTCACTACTGACCCTATCATATATTTCAACCTGCACTAAATTGTGCAAGAGGGGTAATAATTCCATGTTTGCTTATATTTTGTTAAACTTGAAATGTTGTCATTACTGGAGGCAAATTTTACCCCCAAAATTAGTTCAGGTAGCTCCAGAATGATCTCTTTATTGTGCACTGTTTGAAATTTAGCTATCTTAAGCTGTGAGCTTTCAAGCAGCTGCCTGGGACAGCTGGGTCTCCTTAAGAACTGATGGAGAAACGACAGTGAGCCATGCACTAAGATGTGCCCCCGGACAACAACGGTTTCCTGACAGTGGTAGCAGAGTGACACAGAACCCTCCAAAAATCTATGAAGCCTGAGGTAACAGTCCCCATTCATAGTGTTTAGCAATGTACCTAACACATAGAATTGAGTTCAACTACTTCATTTCTCTCTTAATTACTATACAGGCTGAGCCTTGGGAGAGAATTACCAAAAAAGAGAAGAGTTGTTAATTGCTTTCCCCTGCTATCCAATTCTTTTAAATTCTTGCAGCATGAAAAGAAATGCCCTGACACGAAATGTAAAATTAGAGAATTTAGCTAAAGAAACAGCAAGGATCTGTATGCATTCTCAGTGTGTGTCTTTTTTTTTTTTTTTT